TTGCTCAAAAATTATATGGGCAGTAAACCAATGTTCCCTCTAATTTTTGACAGGCCGTGTGCGCAAAAAATTTCTTCTGTGCAAATTTTTGAAGCAGAGTTCAAATTTGTGTGCCATGAGTCAAATGCGCCCAAGCGAGTAAAATGCTTATACATTTAAAACGTTTTAATTTGCAATTTGTGATAATAATAGTTTTACACCATGTTATTTTATAAATGTCATTTTTAAATACTTAGACAAAGGAAATTTAACCTCCTTTCCCCTTCCCCCCCTTGCCAGCTAATAGAATCTGGCTGTGTTGATAGATGGCGGGCAAACAATGTCAAAAGTCGCCAGTAAATGATATTTCGGCCTGGCTCCGATGTAGTATTTCATTTTTTGTGCGCGCAGTGTTTAGGATCTGTGTGCACACGCGCACAGCTTAGAGGGAACAGTGCCATAAACTGAACCTTCCAAAGCCCATGAGTGCCCATTATACAGTTACCCTGTGGAACTAGCCACAGCATTTTCAGTCTGAAAATATTGATGATGATTATGATTTTCATAATACAGATGAAATCGGTTCTTCACTGAAGGAATTACTAAATCCAGATAGAATCTGATCTGCGATATAGTTAGGATTTCCAAAGCTAAGCAAGGTCAGACTGGATGAATATTTGGATAGGAGACCTCCAAGGAATACCTAAGTGCAAAAGGAAATGACACTGGTGACTAAGTAGGGGGCACTCTTGCTTCTGAGTCCGTTCTGAACAGATACTCCAGCAGAGTGCTGAGAATGCCATCTGTTGGGTGAGATGTGAAACTGACCTCTTGTCTTCATTAAAGACCCCAAAGGACTGTTTGAAGAGTAGAGGTGTTACCCACAATGTCATGCCCAGACTTCCAGTTGAGTGATTCTGACCACCTAAATTCTCCTTGTATTTTCAGTTAAATATTTTTTTCTTCCTATCTAGTTCTAAATTGTCATGTAGATTTGCTATGTGCTGTTAATAAGTGTCACCCCAGAAGTGGCTGTATTTCAGTGAGTGAACTCTGTAGTTCAATAAAATGGACAGTGCAAGGAGTATTTCCTCATCAAATGATTAATACTTTGGCACTATTTCCTGTTGAAGGGGCGTGCTGAGTAGTACACCACAGAAATATGTCAGAAATAAGGCAACTGGACTTGTGATGAGGTTGAGTGCGCCTCCTAAGAGGTGTGAATTCCCTCACTGCTGTTGAAACTCAGGAGAATTGAGGGTTTGCACCACAGTACACTCTCCATTCACCAGCAGTATGGCACCAACTTCAGCCCACTCTGAATTAGAAAACATTTATATTTTATCACCTATCTCTTAAATCTAGCTAATAGATAGGCAAGGTGGTTAGATGCCTGGAGAGGAAAGGAACATGAAATAGCTACCAATCAAGGCATGAAAGAAATCCTTAAAGGGTCAGGATCGAATATGCATAGAAAGACATCTTATATTTGGCTTTACTCTTTTAATTCTTTCAGTGCCAGGGAATTCCTTCTGAGATCACAAGTACAAAAGGCATTTTGGAAAGAAGTTAGGAGCAAAGTAGAGATGGCTTGAAATCCTTTCAGGGTTTTTGGTTTTGAGGGGGGGTTTTTAAGATGAGAAACCTAAGTGATTCAAACTGACATTGCCTAGCACTAAAATACTGCTCAATTTCAATTGACAATACATCATCTCTCTTTGCTGCATTTGCCCTGACAAATGATAAACTGCAAAGCTACTTTTTCCCCTCAACCCCCCGGCCCTACTGAACAATCCTACTATGCAGCTGCAACCCTTGGAGTCTACCTTGGTGCAGAGTTCTGCATGAACCAGCAGAAGGAGCTCCAAGTCTGGTCAAGACTTGTGTAACTGCCTCCCTGTGCCTAGGGAAAAGCAGCGTGACTTCTGTGCCTGGAAATCTTTCCTTATCTATTTTGAATTCTGTTCACAGAGGCAGCCTGAGATTGCAGCATTCTTCACTGGGAAGGAGCTTTACTCATTTTTTCTGGTTAAATTGCAATAGAGTTATGGCTTTGCATATAAAAAAAATCCTTAAAGAGACAATTTAGCACAGCTACTTGAAGCTCTGATGAGGGAGGAAACCAGCTCAGTTCAGATACAAATATATTAACCCTTCATTCATTCTGAGAACTAATCTTGTTCTGAGGTTTTGAAGATGTTCTGGTAAGTGGGATTTTTCTCCCACATCCAGTGTTTCACCGAGACCAGAAATACACAGATACCCGAAGAAAGGCCATTCTTGTGGCGTTTTTATCTGCTGTTGGAGGTGACATGTTGAAAACCTCACGAGAAAAGCTACTCTTGTGGGATTGCCGAATTTACTCTGCAGAGCACAAATACTCATATTTGCATGCACACAAATGCAAGGGCAAAATAACACATGCCTCCATGTCTGTAGCTGTAGTAATTGCATGAACAGGTTAGACGTACAATTTTGACAGTTTAGTTCCTCTTTGCTTTCACCTGGTGCCCAGGGTAGCTGGAGCAAATTTGCCCTCTCCTTCTATGCAAATTAGATCAGCCTCAGGACTTTTCTAATTTAGGTAAACTACTATGGTCATGGATCACTGGAACATAGCATGATTTGGCCACATTCCCTGTCACACTTTATCTTCTGCCACTACGTGGAGTGAGCCACCAGGGATTATTATAGAGCTGGCTATGCCTGTTCTATACCAGGTGGGGATTTCCCCATGCCACAGGTATCTTCAGATGCTGAACTAGAGTCTAGATGCCTGAGCAATCTAATTGGAGGATGGAGGTATCCTGCTGTCTCTATGATATCCTAGAGCCAAACCATTTAAGATTGACCCTGGCCCCTGTCTGTAATGATGGGACATCAAGCACTCAGTGGAACTGGCATTCTACTGTGCAAGGATCTTACTCAAGATTCACATATGTGAGGTAGGAAAAATAAGGTTGTAAACGCATGAGATTAGCAAATCTGATCAAGCATCCAAGAGCCTACCAAAGAGGTGAAGGAACCAAACAGATTGTTGTTTTCAGCTTGACTTGGAACACATAACTGTGATGCAGTTGGTTAGGGTTACTAAGTCATGAATCATGCAGCAACTTTTGCCCATGTTAAAAATGAAAAAGGATGACTGTACTTCCTGGACTGGATAGAGAGCAACGTGGGTGGTAGTATTTGTTATCAGATAAAACAAATAGTCGTTTAATTTCTTTGAAGAAATCAGTCCCATTTCCATATTCCTCGTCTCGAAGCACAATTTGAAGAAATCCAGGAAATGTTTCAATTCAGTCTGAAGTCTTATTGGTTTTTAACCAGCCTTGATTGGTATTTACTACAACAAAGGGGAGGAAATTACTTCTTTTCCCTCTCCAGACTATTAAAGTCTTAGCTTGTTATAATAGAAGGACCTATATAATGATGCACCAACATTAAAAGGTTGGCAGCTTAGTTTCACATTATAATGCATTGCATTTTTTGAGAGTTTAATTCTTTGCCTGTAATTGGTTTGAACATGTATCGCACCTCCCATCCCCGGATCCCAAAGCACTGGCATGTGAAAGTCTGTGTTTGTGTGCTGGTAGAGACACATGCAGAGAATCTAATTTCTTTTATGCCAATCACCGTGGTATCTAGGTGCTAATTGTAATATTTTGCCTTCTCTAGCACCTCCCACCTGCGGATCTCAAAGCGTTTTACAAACATTAATTAATTTAGCTTCATAACCCTCATATGAGGAAGGTGGGTATTGTCCCCATTTTTCAGATGGGAAAACTGATCACAATAGGCTGGCCCACTGTCTCCTGCAGTATAACCCCGGGGAGCAGGAGATCTCCATAATGTTCCCCCCACATCGTTTTGTCGGGGGGCTGCCCTACCCACAGAATGAGTAGCAGGTTCTGCAGGCAACAGAGGGGATCCACAGAAGGCCAGAACTTTCTGCATTTGCTTCAAAGCTCTGATGTTTCCTCTTCTCTCCCCTGCTTCCTGGCAGTGTAGCTTCCACTTTATCACACTGCCCAAGGAGCTTGCTTAAGAAGGGAATTACACTTCATGAATGGTCTCAGCAAGAAGGAAGTATAACCAGTGGGCATATTACCTTTCCCCGGAAATCTCCACAAGCATAGTAATGGTTGTCCCCTCAGCCCCACCATCATCAGTTCAGGGCTACCCATCCTCTACCTCCCCCACAATCACTCATGTGGATTCCAGCTCCATAGAGCATCCTCTGCAGAGTTCTGTGTCTTAAAGACAATGGACCCCTCACCCCTTCTGCATCAGAGGAGGCACTCTCTGGCCCAGAGAGATTGTAATTTGCTCAAGGTCACATAGAAATTATGTGACAGAGCCATTAATAGACACCAGGACTTCAGACTCACTGTCTTATACTTCAGCCACAAGGCCGTCCTTTCTTTGGAATACCTCACCTGGAAGATAGGGCTGGAAAGTTAGCAGGCAGTGACTCTGGTAAGATTTCCCAGTACTTTCTAGTTTAGAAGCTGAAACCAGGCTGGTGAATTTAAAACAAACCGCTAGGGAAAAATCCTACAGGACTTAGTAGAGGAAGCAATGACTTCTGTCTTTTGAAACGAACAAATGGAATTCTATAGAAGAGGTACAGTTCTCTACAATGTAACAATTCTATAGACAAGACTTCACCTTTTCAATAATAGAGGGATTTCTAGATAACCGTATCTAATGGTTCTATAGGGCTCTCATGGCTTAAATTATATAGGACTTTTCCATAAGAGAAAAGCAAAACTCCACCAGAACAAAAGTAATTGATCTTTCTCAAATCTCCAACTAGCTTGCCAGTTTAGGTTGCATTTGGAGTGAGAATTTAAGTTAGTTGCTAATTTCATCCCTAGAATTGCCTTCTGCTGCTCATGTCCCCATTGTGTGGGGCCTTGGTTTTTAAAGCTATAGCAAGTAATATCATGAGTACGGTTTTTGACCCAACTGAACTCTGACTGACCTCTTTCTTTTTCCCTTCCCCACCATCAATGCAGGTGTCAGCTACTCCAGGTCGGTTCCTCCAGCCTATCCACCACCCCAGGATCCATTAAATCAGGGACAATACATGGTGACAGATGGCATATCCCAGTCCCAGGTCTTCGAGTTCACCGAACCCAAACGCAGCCAGTCACCATTCTGGCAAAATTTCAGCAGGTTAACGCCATTCAAAAAATAATACCTAGAGTGAGATGGAGAATTTTAAAATAAAAATTTTAAAAAATTAAAAATAAAAATAAATAAATAAAATTATATTTATAGATGGACCTTTTTTCGGAGAAGCACTGTTGCAATTAAAAAGAATTATACACACACACACACACATACATATATATATATATATATATATATATATAAATATATATATATATAGAAGGACCAAAAACTTTTTTTTGTTGTTTTTGGGAAGCAAACTACTACTAGATACTAGGAAGCACCAATGACTTCTACTCATGTGTCCGATTTTGTTTTATTTAATTGGTCAGACAACATCATTTTTTCTCTTCATTTTTTTTTTTTTGTCCAACTTGTCATTGTCTCTCCAGGACGATTTCTTGCTCGTTGTGAGTTTGTCACTGAAGTTTTTTGCAGGCCACATTGGTGTATATTTTATTTTATTTATGCCTTTTATTTTTCTATTTTAGAGGTGGGGAAGATCTCTGCTCCCTTCCCTCTTTGCTCCCCCCACCCCTTGACTGTCCCCAAACTTCCTGTTTCAATGAACAGCATTTTCCCCCCAGCATTCTCTGTTCTGAGTCGTTCCAGTCTGGGTGTGCTCTGTTATGCACTGTGATATGCTGCTCAGTACTTCTATTGCTTTAACTGTTTTTATATGTGTTCTTGGGCCAGGGAGGGGGGTATAAACAAACAAAAGGGGGGAACAGATCTTTATTATGTGAGAGGTGACTTCTGTTCAATTGATTTGTTGCATTTTTAACTGTGTTTCATTTCAATGCTGTGTGTTTCAATCACACATGCCATTCCCAGTAAGATTGAAAGAGAACAATGGAGGCTTTTTTGTTTCGTATTTTATTTTATTTTCTCCAGAGATTTTTTTTTTTTAGCTGAGAAATTACCCCGTGAGATGTCCAATACTAGCTTTTTCCTACATAAAGATGACAGATGTTTTAAAATTGCTTGATGGCCTCATGTCCTGCATTCTAGGTAGAGAAAAATTAGTTATTGAACACAAACAAAATGGCCAGTGTTCCTTCTGCAGGAACTAACTCAGAGGACCCATCCTCTCTGCCACACACACACACACACGTAGCACCACTGTTATGAACCATTGATTACAGTTTACAGGAGCAACGATCCTAGATGTAACAGCCATTGCTGTACTTGCTTTCTGGTCTGTTATGTTTTATTTAAGTATCCCTAGGTTTGCCTCGAGCGCCAAATTACCAACCGGACATTAGCTGACAATGATGACCTATTAGATTAAGGATCATTGCTTAAGTAATCGAAAACATTTACTCAACATTTAATGCCTCCAACCTGTGGAAGAGTTTGAAAACTGCCTTTCAGAAAAGATTGCATTGAAATCAGTGTGGCCTGAGACATCTTGCCATGTGACCAGGACTACATATCCAAATGTAGATCAGCAATCAGACTAGTCTAAACTGTAGCAATGGTTCAGCAAACTTGCACCATTGTCAATAGGCTGCACAGTAATTAGTTAACCTCTCTGTGTCTCTTTCTCTCTCTTTTTCTCACTCTGTGTATTCAGAGCTGCATTTTCAATGACACCTCCTACAATTTCACCCTCACCTCAAACACACTAGTTTGCATGTACGGAAGCCTGCAGTTCGGCTCACAAAACAGATCATTGCACACACGATGCCTTTTTGCTTGAGCAAATGTGGATGTTTTGCTCATATAAAAAGGTGTACGTGAAAATTTCGCAGGTGCTGCTTTGTAGTCTCCTTTGAAAATGTGGGGTGAAATGATCCAAACCCTAATTTGTATTGACTGTTTTGTTTTTAATCTTATCGGCCATCCAAGCAAATCAGGCTAGCTACTGATGTAGAGAAATACACCGGGGGGTAGGGGAGCACAGATTTAATTTTTCACCTGAAAAACAAGAACCTGTGAAGGCCACCAGTGAATGATTTCAATATTTCCAGGCAGCTTATTCTCTTGTAGGGCTAGAGCAAGCACTAAGATAAAGACACCATGCCATGTTATAAGGGAGTGACCATATTTCCCATTTAAAGCACAAAGATTATCTCGGCACTTTCTTTGCTACTTGAGAAAATACAAATAAGCAGCAAAGAAAGTCTAGTATTTTAAAGAGAGGAAGGCTCCCCCCCACCCCCCTATATGTAAATGATATATAAAAAAAGTCCAATCAGGAGGTAACACAATTTTTATATCAGAAACATTTTTAAAATACTCTTTTGTATCTCTGCTTTTTTTATGGCTAACAGCTCAGATTTTAATACAGAATATGTGGCAATTATTATTTTTGTTTGTTTAATAGGATGGGTGTTTAGAGAAGTGAACGAGACGATTCCTCAAAAGTTGTAACGTAAAGGATGAAACAAAACGTCTTACACTTTCTGAATGGCTGGAGAGAGACACAGAGAGAGAGACAGATTAGAGCCTCCTTGTCAATATGATGAAAATTACACCTATACCTTTGCCTTTTTAATTGCTTAAGGGAGAAAAGTAACAAGCACGTTAGTTAAGCCTGTTCATTTACTGTTTTGTGCCTCTGAGAGTGAGAATAAAACATCCATTATTTTTATGAGAAGATGCTTCCTTAATATTCAGCACTAGAAAAAAGAAACAACACGGCCACACCATTATTTGCATCATAAATCGAGATTCCCTTGATCTGACAAGGCCACTTGTTGGACTCACAGCTTCTTGCTTACGTGGAAAACCAAAACCAAATAGCTTTGCTAACTTCAAACTACCTGCACCAAAACCAGGCAGCAGGTAAAGCAGATGCAGGCCTCTGTTCCAGAGCAAAGCGGATTTGGCCCTCAGTTGTGGCATTCAAGAAAGCTCTTCCCATCCCTAAGTTGCCAAGGTGCTGCAAGAAATGAAGCATTAATAGAAAGGCAAACCAGCAATGGGTCCCACTTTTACTTACTTATTAATTATGAAATAGAGAGCTGGGTTGGGTGGTCTTGTATACTTGAAAGCTCCAGAAACACATTAGATCTGATCAAACTGGGGGTAATTTTTGACTTCGCATGTTATATAGATTTTCATTTCAATGCCAGACAAGAGGAACCCACATACTGTTCCATGGGCAATAGAACCAGAGATTGTAACAGACTTAGATGTAGAATTTCTCCAGCTGAAACTATATATATATATATAATATAAAAACCTCCTCTTCCGTAGGTAAATGATGCTCATTACCCCTTGACCTAGCAGAGGATGTAAGTTCAAGATTTTTGCCTCCCCACCCTCTCCAAAAGATAAAACAAGAACCAACCTAGGTGCATCTAACAGTTGTAAATAGAAAATAATACATAGAAAAATATATTTGAAATCTGTTTCAGTTCTTGGATGGGCACTAGCCATCCATTGCAACGTTATTGATAGTACACTGTGGTGCTTTGGGTTTCTGGTTTTGTTCTCTTTATGCTCTGTCATCTTTTCATTGCAGCTACATTTCAGGGAACATGTATATTTAGTAGCTTTTGTAAGTTCTGCATGGCATCACCACGCTTATTTTTCCTTGAGAAGATCAAAAGAGTCTGGAGGAGTTTAAAGGCACTATGATGATGCGGACTTGTAGCAGAGAATAAAAAAGAACAATCAAGGGTTTTAAAATACATGTTTGAAGCCAAATACTGATATTTTAGTGCTTTTGGGGTTTTAACAGTATGGGCAAAAAAAAAATGGATTTTGGTAACCCAGCTGATCCACACTTGCCAGTTTTATTATTTTGTTTATATTGGACTGTTTGACCCTGTCAAACAAGTGTCTAAGTTGTGTGTATAAAACAAAACAAAAAAAAGTGTTGAAAAAAAGTGTTGTAAAGACACTGAGCCTTATGAAAATATTTATGGAGTTAAATAAAAAGAAATGAAAAGGCATCTGAAGGCATTTTTAAATCATTTTCCTACACAGAGTGGTCTTACTCTTTTCCCCAAGGATGTGCAAGAATTGTCTGGATGGGGGGGGCAGTTTGTCAACAAAGCAGCCAGAAGCGATTCATATGGAACCAGAAAAGGGGTTGGAGTGTCTCCCGAGAAATAACCCACACTCCTTGCCCATGCCCGCCGCTGAACTGAGCGGAAACAATTGATTAAGGATGAAAGGTTCAATTCTTTTTGGCTTTCAAGTCCAATTCTGCATTAAATAGAGTTCAGGGGGAGTCTTCCCCAGAAACATTGTTTTAAATGATGGATTTGATTACTAAATTCTGGTCAGCTTTACAACGGAAGAGAAAGGCCACCCAACAGACCTCAAGTTGTTAATACACTGATGTTAACATAAGAAAGATTCCTGAGCATATTGATAGTATAGCAGAGGCCGTATTTTTCTGAGCAGGAAGCCAGTGCCTCTGGCCTGAGTGAGTGCCAAACATTAGTTTGCAGTTAAGACAACTCCAGTTATTTAACACTGGTGTTCAGATCAGTTAGTAACCCAAGCAATTCCCATGCTGATACCACTGTATCTAGAATGTATAGAGACGACACTGTAAGTGCCCAGAAGTGGCTGCATCCAAACAGATACCAATCTCAACAATAACTCTCTCTCTCTCTAAAACAATGAGGAGTCCTTGTGGCACCTTAGAGACTAACAAATTTATTTGGGCATAAGCCCAAGGACTTCTCATTTTGTTTTTGCTGATGAAGACTAACATGGCTACCACTTAAATCTCTCTCCCTCTGTCTCCCCTTCCCTTTCACACTCTGTATTCCCGATGCTTTCCTGGGTGACTGGTAGTCAGCATGCTAGCATGGTGCGGGACTGGAGGATCAGCCCACTCATGCTGGCAAACCAATCAGCAAGGGGAATAAAAAAATAAAAGGAAAAATCATCAGTGCTACATGAATTACAGAGAGAATGCTGCAGCATTGCAAGCAGAGTGCTTATTCCAGAGTCTGTCTGGGCTAAGAAGTGAGGTCAATGGAATAAAACCTCACGGATTTGCCATTTCCTTCTCTTCCATCAATACACCGAAAAAGCGTCATCGTATTGTATAAATTTTGCTTGCAGTGGAGAAGATATGGATGATTCTTCTATTACAATGACGTTATTTCTGTTATACCAAATGATTGATGTGGATTGGACCTATGGGGTTTTTTGTTTTGCCTTGAGGACGTTGGTGAAATAGCTGTTTATTACTTGTTTGGTTTTTATAAATGTACATGATTTTTAACCTAAATGTCCCTTTAATTTTCTACTTTCCGGTTGGCTTAGTGGACAGAGCCAATCGAAGACTGGTTCAACCATTAAAACATTCAGGTTTTATGTAGGTACAAGTTTTATTCATTTTTGTTTTCTTGGTCTTTCTTCAAACATCAGGCATTCAGACAAGTAACCATGGGCTTCTGGCATTCAGCATTCACAGATAGCCATGGATTTCATTTGGTATAGCAGGAGAGAGGCCAGATTTTAACACCTTGGGCTGCTCCACTGGGCCATATTTTGTTCTCATATACTACTCAGAGTAACTTTCTGATTTCTGTGGTGATATTCCCAATTTACACCGGTGGACCAGGCCCTGATTCAGCAATTCATTGAAGTGCATGCTTAACTTTAAATGCTGAAGTGCTTTGCTGAATCAGAGCCTAAATAGTGAAATCATGGACATTAGGGAAATGACCTGAAAATGACTTTGTCTCTATTAATTATGTCTGGTTTGGTTGTTCATATTACATCTGCTAACTGCAGCATTACCCCAGCTGCATGTCTGTGAACTGCAATGTCAGGCAATATACATACCGAATACATCATATACCCATCACCTTGCATGTCAGGTGCCAGGCACTGGCTAATCCTAAGAGTTGTAGGCTTGGGCAGCATAGTCTCTAAAATCTGGAGGCTAAGGTGTGTGCAAGGTAGTACCTGAAATGACACAAGTACTGCAGAACCAGCACACTCTACATCAGAGTGATTCATGTTTTTGCAATGCATACATGTTTGTGATATAGCGAGTACAAGTGCTTTTAGCAAGCATTCTTTGCATCTACCTAATGAAGCTGGACTGTAGGTCCAGGCACAACAGAGTGACAAGAAGACCCTATTCTTCTGTATCGAGCCAGCACCGGCCTTTGCATCTACAGTACTGGCTCAGCATCCTCCAACGCAAAACACTGTGTGCACATAGAATAGCCCTGCTCAGACTAATCCCCAATTTTTGTCCCGATCCCTAAAGGATTGAACTCATAACCCTGGGTTTAGTAGGCCAATGCTCAAACCTGTACCAGGATTATTCCAGACTGAAGTTGCATTGTGTGTTGGGGGGGTTTTTTCCTTAAATTTGTTGTTCAGTGTTTGCCTCATTTTTCCCCCTCTCAGGATCATATTAATCTCTTGCACAATTCCTCCTCATTCTGCAGCTGAAATAGCACCTTTGCATGCAATGACCATAAAGCTGCTGAGCTCTTGAAAATAGGCAATTAGCCATTGCTAATGCTGGGTAGGACAGTCCCTACTCTGTTCTAAAATGTTCTCTCACCCCAAGAGCATCTCTAAGAAAGTGGCTCCATCTCCAGTTTGTTCCCTTCCACCAAACCTTTGGCTTCTCTTTTTCTCACCAAAGCTAGCAATTTAAATCCAGTCACATCATGTGCTTCCTTTGATTGCTTTGGACATTTAATGCTTTCTCCTTCTAATATTGCTTACAACAACAGCAGTGACAAAAATCTGTAAGACAAGAACACTCTGTTTGTTTTAATTTTTCATAAAGGAGAACATATAAAACATTAAAAGAAAAGGAGTACTTGTGGCACCTTAGAGACTAACCAATTTATTTGAGCATAAGCTTTCATGAGCTACAGCTCACTTCATCGGATGCATACTGTTTGCATCCGATGAAGTGAGCTGTAGCTCACGAAAGCTTATGCTCAAATAACTTGGTTAGTCTCTAAGGTGCCACAAGTACTCCTTTTCTTTTTGCAAATACAGACTAACACGGCTGTTACTCTAAAACATATAAAACATTAATCTCTTGCTGGAGCAATAGATTCATAAGTGCCCCGAGAGGCGCTCCAAACATGGACATCTGGTTCTGCACAGACCTCCCCCACTGCCACTCTGTCTCTTCGCCTGCCCTCCAGCCAGAGAGGAGAATTGTTAACAGGGTTTGGGGAAAGGAGGAAAAAGGGATACTTGTAGATGCTGCT